CAAAATCTGATTTTTTTTCTGTGTACCCACTTTTGTACCAAGCATACTGGAATAGACTTTTATATCTTGGTGAAGACAGTTGATTGTGTACAAGTGATTGTAACTTAATTATATTATTTCTTAAATGAAGATTAACACCGTAATCATGTAACAGCACATTATCGGAGAAACGCCTAACATAATTCTTCCACACCCTAAATCCATAAACATCTACAGGTTGGATTCGGCCAGTGGTACATTTTGGTATCACCTTAATTATAATTTCTTTACCCGTTGGTTTCGCATTATGTACATCTTCTTCAGTGTCCACTCCAACAGTCAGACAAAACATACTAAAACAACACAGACGTTGTTTTAGTATAAGGAAAAAAGACCTCTTCCAAACAGATTTTGAAATGAGCTACAATATTAAATTGAAATCTTTAGTAATTATACACATGTGTATTGGTAGTTATCAATCAAAGATAATTTGAAGGTATTGGTCACCAGAAGTGAGTTTCCCAGATTTTGATGCAGTCACGTACACATCAGTCGGTTTGAATAATGTTTTCTGAACTATTGGTCCAAATTGTCCATTTGCTTCTTGCAAAACCATAAAAAAGGGCGACAACAATTTTCCATCAGTATTGTGTAACTATGCGTTGTTGAAGGTAGAGATTGTACAACACACTCTACAGTAATGCTTCGAAATAAGCAAGTGGTCTCTGCTTCGAAATAAGCAAGTCGCTATCCCCTCTTCTTTGTTTGAAGTCGCCCGCAAAGTGAGAGGTACGAGAAACGAGTGAGAGGTCCATCAAAGCGCGAAGCCGATGTTTAGGGTAATAAATTTCACGCTCGACTGAGCAGTGACATCGGTTAGTAGAAGAAGGATGGAATATATATAATGCTTTCTCAGTCTGGTATATTTGCTTCGAAATAAAGCATAGTGCGAGAATGAGAGGGCATGTTATATTCTATCCTTGTCCAAAAAATAACGTCGCTGCTCGGCCGATCACTTTATGATTTGCCGCTACCTCGGATCTCTCACTCGTTTCTCGCGTTATCTATCGTCCCGTTTCAAGAACAAAGTCAAGCCGAATAGGTACCTGCTTCGAAATAAGCAACTGTTCGGTCCCGAGCCACTTGCTTATTTCGAAGCATTACTGTACTTTCTTTTGGTTTTTCACTGCTAAAGTTCACCCAGAATGTATTTCTAATTGAAATCCACTCTGGTCTGAATTGTATATATTTTCATCTCCGTATCTCGTAATCAAAGGGTTTACTTCATTGACAAAGACCGTAGCTTTAACTTTCAATACTTCATGGTTTTCTATTGCTTTTCGTGTTACAAATTTTGTTATTTTTCGAGAAACAATACGTTGAGCTTTTTTAAAATTATACAGCCATGTTTTGGAAGCTTTAAATGTCATATGATCGTTACCTTGTTCTTTATATGCTTGCAAAGCTCATCGTCGAATATCTCTATCATGCAAAATATAACCGGACTCAATAGCTTTTTTCATATTTGTTATCACGAACTCGGAAATTTGCGCCAATCTTTCTTTTTTAGTTCCACTTGTTTCAATTTGAAGAGCCCATCTTCGTAATTGTCGTTCAGAAGAAACAAGTCTAAAATTATGTTGAACGGTAGCAAGTTTACGTCTTTTTCCTTCCTCTGTGCAAAACGCAACTGCTTTCCGCTTGTAATCAACATCAACGTCTTCATCACGATGTGAACAAACTCCAGTATACAGTAAAACCTGGATAAATTCAACCAAGATTGGGACCCAGTGGTTGCGTTTACCTAAGCACGGTATCGAAGCTCGGATGACACGCGACGACCAGCTAAGCGTGAACGTAGAAAGGGACAGACAGTGGTGGAAAGAGAGAGGTCCGAAATCAAAGGAAAGAGCCGAAACGTATCGGTGTGACTAATACTAATTGAATCAAAAAACTTTTTTATTTTTGACTTTTTTTGAGTGAAACTTTTACTAGCGCATTGGTGAGATTTTTGTGAGTAAAGTGGTACCAAACACGATATAGTTTCAATTATAATTACTTGCTAAAATTGATGTTATAAGTTGGCGAAAAGCAAGAGAGATCGAAATCCAAACCAGTCGCGGTGTCGGCTTTGGTTTCAAAGGTTTCATTTATCCTAGCGAGGAGTCGATTCTGGGCATTTAATGTTTCATTTATTCAAGCAAGGAGTCGATTCCGGGCATTTAATGTTTCATTTATTCAAGCAAGGAGTCGATTCTGGGCATTTAATGTTTCATTTATCCAAGCGAGGTGTCGATTCTGAATCCGTACACATGTTTTCTTTGTAGCCAACATGCCGATTCTGTGTCCGTACACATCTTTTGTATTCAGCCGACATCATTTATATTCAGTCGTGGTCTCAATTCTATGTTGCTTATTCTATTACTATTGTTTATAAATATAATTCAACCTATATCGAGTTTGGTATCATTTTAATCAGAAAAATCTCACAAATGCATTAGTAACAGTTTCATTGAGAAAAAGTTAAAAATAAAAAAGTTTTATCGTTGAATTAGTATTAGTCACACGGATATTACGGTCGGATCATATTACACGGTTTCCTCGTCGAGCGGCTCGGTTCGCCTAGGGGGATCCCCCCAAGTGGAGGGGATAGCGATGTTTCATTTATCCAAGCATTCTTTCGTTGAATTTATCCAGGTTTTACTGTATGTCTCTCCAGACCAATTTTCGTCTGCATCATCTTCTTCAACAGCCTCAACCTCACATTCTTTAAATTGATCCGAAGAGTCCAATGACGATTCTTCAGAAACTTCAGTTTCATTAAATGCAAATACATGTTATCGAGCAACATTTTATGAATAGCTTCATTCAATTGTACTAACTCTCTTGTTATAGGAGTATCCATTAGGTACATCGTTTGAAATGTTGCTAATAACAAATTAATCACTGTATTACAAAATCAATGCTGTGATAACCTCGTAACGTGTTTATTCTTAACTAAGTCTTACTGACTACGCTTACAACGTTGAACGCTGGGATTTGACTACAAAGCACTAACCAACTGTCGGGGTATAAGTTGCAAAGCTTCGCAAAATATAACGCATGACTTGATAAACTGCTATTGTTAAGCGTAGAAAAATATCAAGTGTCTCGTACATGAGTGGCAGAACTTCTCAAGAAAGTGCAAAGTGCATGATATGATTAACTGTCTACTGTTTATTAAGTGCGTAATAAGTATCACTTCTCTATGCATTCACTAATACTGTTTCATGGCGTTAATATCGATTTAATGATATGACTTATGCTTGGCCGACAGAACTTCCTTGGTTATCTGATATATACAGATTGTAGTATAACAAAAACAAGAAAAATAATTAAATAAAATGTAGCTGGTCATATATGTATGTTGTTTGCGAGAGAAAATCGTTGCAAGAAAGATATTGACCGTACGACATATTTGGTATGACCGCGACTCGACGTATGTGCGCGATGGATATATGATATTAAAATATGCAAAAATGTAAGAGGCAAATATTGCATATAATACATCAATGGATTCAGAAACAAATTTATGTTCTTTTTTGTTATTATGTAAATTGTGATTACTTTAAATTTCAAATAAATTATTTTTTACAAAATTTATGACCATCTGTTATATGCTCATAAAAAACCATGAAACTTTTCCTTCAAAAGTTTTCTTCTATCTATGATAGTTTCGGAGATAGCCTATTGTAGCCGAAACTTTAGGGGGTCGTTTCACCCCCTAAATATGGAAACGGGCAAAAATAAAAAAATACATATACCTTATCGTTCGGTCCTTTAAAACATCCAAAAATTAAAACAATCGGAGGCGGACACCTAAAAACCCTTCCTTGTGAGATCTGACGTGGTTGATATTTTCACTTCCGGTTTTGTGTCACTTCCAGTCAGAATCGGAAGTCCAAAACCCTTAAACGCACGGTTTCAGACCATGAGGAATATAATAGCCAAAACCGTTTCCGTTTATCTCTTACCGTTTTTGCTCCACAGAAAGACAGACAGACACACACATACTGGAAAACCTATAGGAGAGATATTCCAACCAGAGTTTCCTGTGAACGGTATTTCTTTTATATTGTTGATTGTTGATTGTTAGTGAAGTATCTGTACTTATTTCTCCAACCGTCTCGTTCAGATTACATTTTTGATGGGGCGGACTTGATGGCTTGTACACATCCTCCCCAAATTCGAAATTTGTAGTCTCAGGATACTTGGATTGTAGACTAAAATCCAAATCCAAATTGTATTCCGAGTCCGAAGATTCCACATCACTATCTTCGTCAGAGTGGGATCAAATTTCTTTACCACTCTTTCTTTTCTTGACGGCCTGTGTTTCCTTGCTAGTTAACGCTTTCTCTTTCAACTACATAATATATACCATAACCAATACAATAATGTAACATGTAATACATAATCAGAGGAAATAAATGAATGTATATACATATAAATTTACCATTCAGAAAAACATATTTTAATGAAACAAGAAAATAGAAAGAAGAGTGATTTATAACGAATTAAGAAGTTGTTCCCCTTTTTCTTGCACTTCATTTTCTGGCAGAGTGCTGTACGGAGCTGAGGAGTTTTTCGCCCCATCTAACCGCTCGCTCAGTGTAGCTGCATCCCACTTTTGATACGTCATTTTCACTTTCCTTGTCTCGCGTCGAATTAGTAGTTGTGATCCTATCCGCCAATACCGAAAGTGTGACAGAAGGTTACTGAAAAGCAGGAGAGGGAGAGCGGCCAATCATTACGCAGACCGCCCAACCCGGAAAACTCCTCAGCTCCGCACAGTAACGTACTCTCCAGGATTCTTTGAAAGTCTCTCTTCTGTACAAATTTTCTGGGGCTGAACTCGTGTTTCAGCAGCCAATCGGTTGTCAGCTCTGTAGGGTTGGTGGTGGGAGCGAGCGATAAGTGGGTTTTGAAATTCAGCATGGATTGGCTTGCGTAGTAACGATACCAGTCAGTCTCCAACTGACGGTCCAAGGGGAGATTTATGGATGATCACGCAAGAACGAAGTACTTACATGGCAGCGCAAGTAACAATGTACTAGTTTAAAAATTTCCGCTTCTTAAAATTGAATGTCGCTTGTACTTGCCATAAACGAAAATATTCTTTTTTTAAAACATTTTTATCGGCACAAAAGAACAATAACAAAAAATAATAGTAAATTATAGATTGATCTTTGATTTCGAGGCAGTGAGTGTAACTTGATAGTAATTAGACTCTACCTTTTGTTTTAGCCGTGCTTTGTTTACGGTGTCAACGAGTGGCGCACAGGTCCTAGGGCGACTACGCTTCAACAAAGGTATGTACATACTAGGCATAACGAGAAGATCGGTAGATGTTCTTTTGGTAACTGTGTAGTGGTAGTTCGCTGTGTACCACCGCAACAACGTCAAAGCACAGCCGACGGGTGGCATACGGGTGATCACATTTTATGTCGGCAATGCTTCGATGGTGGCAGCGACTAAAGGTCGATTTATACACTCCGCAAAACAATTAAGAGATCACCTCTACGAACCCGAAAAATAGGACGAAATTCAGATGGTTATAACTTTGAGAAAAATGGTCGAATCGATATCGCGGAAAGATCATTTGAAGCTGTGAAATCTCCATTTTCAGATCCTCTTTTAAGATTTTAGTTATCTTGAATTTTATAAAAGTTATAGTGATATAAGTAGCACTTCGATAATTTTTAAAAATTTTGTTCAAATTTGTAACGTTGCATGGCACTAACAAAATTTTTTTAGCAATTTACATTTGTACCAGTCGAAAGCGACTACCTTCCTATGTAAAATCAGTAGTTTTTGGTTGTTACACGACTTTTTTTTGGCTGAGTTATTTAATTTTGAAGTAAAAGTCGTCCTTTTGACTTTAACCGCTCCTAGAAAGCGATCAAATCATCGTAGATTATTGGGTAAAGAAGCAGTAGAAAGAGCAGATTTTCCTCTTTAAGATGCGTCTCTTGCTTTTTCATTTTGATAAAGATTTTGATGTACCAGGTCTTTTTAGCGATATACTTAAAAACTGCACAATTACCATTTTATCTTTAACTCGCTGTATCTCGGCATGGGATAGTCGTAGTATCATGGTCTTCAGTTCATTTTAAAGCATAGAATTTGTCGATTCGATTGAGCCCCGAGCGAATGCACTGTGATAATTTTTTAACCATGGCCAACATGTTCAAAGTTACCGATTCGTTAAAAGCATCACTCGTACTTCAACGACTATCTAACAGTTGTAGATAAATATGTTTACACGATTCAGCTCGATTTCAGATGTTTTCGGTAGTTATTATCGGTGGGTGGGGATACGCACAAGAGTGTCCGCTTGAACGGAACGCCATTACGGAAAAGTTGCGCTGTACCTTAATTTTATATAAATTCAACTTTGAACGTAATGGCCATGGGTAAAAGATTATCACAATGCATTCGCTCGGGGCTCAACCGAATCGGCAAATTCTCTGCTTTAAAATGAACTGAAGACTACGACTATTCTATGCCGAGATATAGCGAGTTAAAGATAAAATGGTAATTGTGCGGTTTTTAAGTATATCGCTAAAAAGACCTGGTACATCAAAATCTTTATCAAAATGAAAAAGCAAGAGACGCATCTTAAAGAGGAAAATCTGCTCTTTCTACTGCTTCTTTACCAAATAATCTACGATGATTTGATCGCTTTCTAGGAGCGGTTAAAGTCAAAAGGATGACTTTTACTTCAAAATTAAATAACTCAGCCAAAAAAAGTCGTGTAACAACCAAAAACTACTGATTTTACATAGGAAGGTAGTCGCTTTCGACTGGTACAAATGCAAATTGCTAAAAAAATGTTGTTAGTGCCATGCAACGTTACAAATTCGAACAAAATTTTTAAAAATTATCGAAGTGCTACTTATATCACTATAACTTATATAAAATTCAAGATAGCTAAAATGTTAAAAGAGGATCTGAAAATGGAGATTTCACAGCTTCAAATGATCTTTCCGCGATATCGATTCGACCATTTTTCTCAAAGTTATAACCATCTGAATTTCGTCCTATTTTTCGGGTTCGTAAAGGTGATCCCTTAATTGTTTCCGTTCAGTTCGGTTCCGACAAAGATTATTTTGTGTTATTAAACACGGGTGTTTATATGTATATACCATGATGGATCGATTCAAACGCGTTCCGTTTCAGACATATGACGACCGACATTCTCGAAAAGAATAATTTGACTGACGCGATGCGTGACTGAAACAAAACAGACGCTATCGTTTGATACGCGTTCATTTCAGACAAAATGTTGCGACAAAATAGACCTGCGAGCAATTTATTATAATGCAAAACGAAAAACTGATAGAGTTAGTGAGAAACTATACTTTTTTAACCGACTTCGAAAAGAAGGAGGTTACTCAATTCGATCAGTATATATATATATTTTTTTTCTGTGTGTGGTCACCGATTACTCCGAGATGGATGGACCAATCGGAACGAAACCTTTTGCATCTTGTAGGGTGTCTTCCAATTGGTCCCATTAAACAAAAATTTTCATTTTTTCATTGTTATTGCAAAATACAGGAAGTTTTTAATCTCAAGATTGGACGATTTCAATGACCTTTTAATATGTTATCGGGGGCATGATTCTGAACAACTTTTTCATTGTGCATAATTAACGGAAAGCTTTAGTTTCCGAGATATTCGTGAAAAACTATTGTTGCTACTACCTTGAATTCTACGTATACCTACGTGTCTCTACCGGTGAATGAGTCAGCATGCAGTCACCGATTCTCTACTGTTTCTATACATGTAAGTACGTGCAGTGTGTCCCACCTTAAGTGTCATAATTCCGTTATTCCGTAACTATTAATGATACAAAAAATTGTTGATATGAGAATTGCACGGCAAAAGGGGACCTATGTTTTGGACGAAGTGAAAAATCTCTTACATTATTAGTTTAAGAGATATGGTGCTCAAGGTTTGTTTTTTAAATGGGACCATATATTTTTTTCGGATCATGTAATAGTGCTTCTTAAGACGAATTCATTAAGCTTTAATGTATACACTCGATTTTAATTAGTTTTCAAGATGTAACGTTTACAAATTTCTTGATTTTCAGTAGATACATCTCGGTTTGAGTGGCAAGTCGTAAAAGAGGCCCTACTGTTGCGGTAAGTGCCATAGCGGGGGTCTATGCTAGGAATGGCAGACCCAAAGAATAATCGCTGTGACATTTACCGCAACAATAGGGCCGTTTTTACGACTTGCTACTCGAACCGAGACGTATCTACTGAAAATCGGGAAATTTGTAAACGTTACATCTTGAAAACTAATTAAAATCGGGTGCATACATTAAAGCTTAATGAATTCGTCTTGAAAAACACTATCACATGATCTGAAAAAAAATATATAGTTCCATTTAAAAAACAAAACTTGATCATCATATATTTTAAACTAATAATGTAAAAGATTTTTCACTTCGACCAAAACATAGGCTCCCTTTTACCGTGCAATTCCCATATCAACAATTTTTTGTATCATTAATAGCTACGAAATAACGGAATTATAACACTTAAAGTGGGTCACACTGTGCAAGGCATGTACCGGTTGCGATAAATGAAACCTTTTACATCTAATAGGAGATATTTCCGCGATATCTCACTTGCAAAAATTTATGCAATTTGTTATTGTTAATAACTATTGTTATAACGAAAACTCTATTCCTTGGTATTACTTTGCACGAAATGCACCGATCGCGATGAAACCTTTCGCATTTAATAAGAGATATTTCCGCGATGATCCCACTTGCCAAAATGTATGGAACTTATTATCGTTAAAAACTATCGTTATTGCAATTGACCAAAAAGAACGGTAAATCACCTTACGGCATCCTACAAATACTGCTCGTTCCACTAAAAAGTGTGAAATAAAATCATTTTTAACAAAAAATACAACTGACTTCGAAACGCACTAAAAAGCATGAAATAATTTCTATTTCCTAATGAAATAATTTCTATTTCATTTATACAAATACCCAACAGCTATTACTAAAACTTAAATAGTATACTAAATACATTTCAACCTTTTCGGCGGCGGCGCAAAATTAAAAGTACCCGAATATACGATGCTGCCAATAACGATTTGATAGGTTGCCGACGCCTGAACTAGGATCTTCCTAGTAGAAGAAAAGTTTTTCATTTTGCGCCGCCTCCGAAAAGGTTGAAATGTATTTAGTATACTATTTAACGAGTAAATAGGTTTTATTAATAGCTGTTAGGTATTTGTATAAATGAAATAGAAATTATTTCATACTTTTTAGTGCATTTTGAAGTCGGTTGTATTTTTTGTTAAAAATTATTTTATTACTGTTTCTGCATGCAGCAGCACGGCGACTGACAAGCAATACAGGGTGCCTCAGAACTCGCGTAACTCCCGGAAATGGGGGCTTTCTGGGGTGATTCTGAGCAACTTTTTCCTTTACCAAAATGTCGTTTGAAGCTTCGTTTTTGAGTTAATAACGAAAAACACTGGCCATTCAGAGCGCGCGTGGAGCTCACGCTGAACCGCTTTCAGCCGCGCTTGGTCGTGATCGTGAACAAGGGAAGCGTGCGATAAATGTTACATCGTCTTAAATTAAGAACAACGTGTAATTATTGGTTGTTCATGAACAACGAATAAAGTAATGAATCGTTCATGTAGAATGAATAAATCGAATTGATCCAACACTTATTCGATTTTCGATATGGATAAAAAAAATACTTTTGTAGCCATCGTTAATCGAAAATGCAAGGAAATCTGTTGGAAAGATAGGATTTATTTTAGGAGAGGTTACAAGGTGTAGGATACAGTTTTCCTTTTTATTTATTCGTACAGAACATTTTACAAAGAGCGCCATGTTTATACTTTTCTCGTTCGATAAGCGTCCAGGTATTATCGCCGAACTCTCCATATCGAACGGGCATCTAGAAAACTAACTCTACTAGGGCGTCCGGGAGATGCTCTGTACTCTCTCGACCGACAGGCGTCCAGGTATTATCGCCGTACTCTCCTGCCGGAGTCCCTAACCTGCTGACCAAGAGCGGCCGATGGTCTTACCTCGTCCTTTCTCTCTGTTAACAGCAGGCGAAATAGACCGAGGCCGTCGCGAGCCCTTAATTTATATCCGCTCGTTGCTATCCGCAGTCGCCGAAATCAACGATCTCGTCGTCAGGAATGAATTTGGCGTTTTCCGCGCTCGCGTTCCGCGTCTCCGCTCGCGCCTCGCGTCTCTGTTTCCCGCGATACTCTATCATCGGTTTTCTCGAAATCGTCTGGACGTTTCCAGACTGCG